CTTCTCCTTTTTTATTCCTTGAAAATTTTGAAAGGGAAAAGATCTAAATTTGTTCTTATACAACATGAAAATATCTTTACCCTCTTTGTTTCATTTTACGTGAATATTTTTCTTAGTTTGTTCTAAAAAGTATGATAACCCTTAAATTTTGTAAATAACTTAATTTTAAACTTACCATAAAATTATCGATAGAGCTTGGATGGAAACACTTTATAGATAAAGAATGTATAGGAGGGAATTGTATATATGAGGATAGAAACATATAATTAGAGAGGGGCTATTTGATACCTATGTAAATCAAAGTTGTAAGTGTTGGTAAGGTAATAAATAAAATCTTTTTGTTTCAACAAACATAATTTTAAATTTATCATTTTACTCTTAATGACATAATTTATATTTTAACATAAGTATCTATATAACTTATTTTACACCAGCATGTTTCAAAACTATTCCTTTTTTTCTTAAATTTCGTGCATATTCAATCTTTACCATATAAAGTGGAACGAATGGATTAATTTTTTCTATTTTACTCTTCATGACCATTCTTATATTTGAAAAAGTAACCTAAATAATTGTCCACCCAAGTATTTTAATTAGAAATTATCGGCAGATGAACAATATATATATACACACACATCCCTTAAGTTAAAAGTTAAATTATGAAAATGCCCATCTTATTTTTACTAATATCTATATCTATATATTATTAAAAGGAGAGGAAAAAGCCCTCTCCTTAAGCCAAGTGGCAACCTAAAAAAATGTCACATGGCATAATTAGTTATTTAGTTTTTAATTAGTNAATTGCACAATAGGATAACATGTATTAAAATCAGACTTTAGCCAAATATAGCAGTTGAGCGACCGTGCTAGAACCACGGAACCCGGGAGTGCCTAACCCCTTCTCCCGGGTTAACAGAATTCCTTACCCGGATTTCTGGTTCGCGACTGTTAAACAGAGTCAAACCCTTTCCTCGATTCGGGATTCAAACCGGTGACTTGGGACACCATAAATCTCCCAAGTGGCGACTCTAAATCTCTTAATAAAATGAATCCCGTTTCGATTGTCCTTTAATTGGAAAAACTCCTTTATTATACCGTTAACGGGGTGTAGTAGAAAAAAGGAGGTGTGACACTAGTAAATATTCCTTCCTGTCGCACTATCTAGGGTTTTGTGTCCCATATACTCATATAAATAGGAAGAGATGTAATTCTAGAGGAGGATCGACCATTTTTCTAAGGAGCATCCATCAATGACAATCTCTGTGAAGATTCTCTATTTATTAAATATACACAAATCCTAACTTTATATATCTTTTCTTTCATCCTTCTCTCCCGATCTAAAAAGAATCGGAATATTCAACTGCTTACCATCATCCATCATTGTAAGAAAGTTCACTGGAAAATCTCACCCTTATCAGGTAAACTTTATCTCATTTATTACTCAAATGCCATTGCTACCTTTACATTTCCAAGCCATGATTGTTCCATAATTGTTCTAATTTACTCCATACATTAAATATTCGCCATAAAAGCACTAGTTCTGCTATTGAATATTAATATTGATCACTTTGATTAAACCTCCTTTTCTATAAATCTAATTGTATAAAAACATAGATCTGATTTTTGGGTTATACACATATCAGGAAATGGGGACGAGAAAACATGTTTTTCCAAACAGCGAATAATTTGCTTAAACAGAGAATAATTGCAACGAAAAGAGGATTTAATTTAGGGAGTGGTACGAGGATATATCCATTCTTCCCAAAAAGTAGAGTAAAGTTACTTCGTCACTTACTCGTTTGACTTTTGAAAATAAAACCTCTTTTATTACTTTTTGAATATGGCAAAGTATATCCACTATAATATCAAAATCAATTGACAAAATGAGAAAGCCATTATTGAAATTTTCAAAATATAATTAACCTGCTCAATTATTATGTATTACTATATATTCGAAAGTCCTTCAATGTTTTAAAATTTATTTCGATCACTTACAGAACTATTTCTAATTGCCATTTTACTGACACCCTAAAACGAACGATCAAGGTATATTCAAACATGTGAAACGAGATATAGGAAGTATAGATCTTTCTCATAATTGATGGGAAACAGGTATATATAGCGGAAGCAAATAGCCAGGATCACTTGCTTGTAATATAGATAATACATAATCATAAATTTTAATCAAACATAAAATCGATACTTATCTCATAAAGTGTGATCGCGATCGCGAAAAGAGCTTTCAAGCAAGAGCGAAATCGTCCACGGGCCTTTCCTCTAGTTCCATAATCTTCTGCTGTGTGACCCACATAATGCCCAGAATTAGCGAAGTTCGTGAGGGCGAATTTCTCCTAGGAAAACCATGTAGTAAAAACCTTGCGCCTCCTGGAATAAGACCTCTTTATATAGCCACAGGTTTTAGAGTTTAAAACCTTTTCCTAAACCTATTGGGTTTTCCTTTTCCACCAAGAAATATAATTTCATTTAATTCATAATTGTTCAGGCACAACAGAGACCGCAATATCTATCTATCTATAATTAAAAAGAGAGGAAGAAGCATCCTCATTAAGCCAAGTGGCATTATCATAATATGCCACTTGGCGCTTTAGGACAATGCTCCAAACAAATAGGACCTAGAAGATTATTCAAAAAAAAAAAAACATATTTCTTTGTTTTTAAAATATTAAAGATTTCTTTATTTAAAAATTTAACTGATTTTAAAGCTTACGTTATTAATATTTAAATTTAAAAAGGAAATCTGATTTAGATTGTTATTTCAAAATTAAATATTAGTTGCACATTTTAAAACATACGTGAAGACCAAATTTTTTATTTAAAAGAGCTTTATTTAATTCAAATTTCAGATTTATTTATCTATCTATAATTTAAAAAAGAGGAAGAAGCATCCTCACTAAGCCAAGTGGCATTATCATAATATGCCTCTTGGCGCTTTAGGACAATGCTCCAAACAAATAGGACCTAGAAGATTATTTAAAAAAAAAAATTC